GTCCCTTCTGACAACATGACCAAAGTATGTAAGACGAAGGCTGGCCATTTTCTCATCCAAGGAGCATTCTGGCTGCACTTCCTCCAGGACAGATTTGTTAGTTCTTTTAGCAGTCCATTGTACTTTCAGCATTCTTCGCCAACACTACAACTTAAAAGCATCAATTCTTCTTCAGTCTTCCTTATTCATTGTCTAGCTCTCACATGCATATGAGACAATTGAAAATACCATGGCTTGTGTAAGGCGCACGTTAGTCCTCAGGGAGACATCTCTGCTCTTCAGCACTTGAAAGAGGTTCTTTGCAGCTGATTTTCCCAGTGCTATACATTGTCTGATGTCCTGACTGCTGCTCCCATTAGCGTCGATTGTAGAGCCAAGCAATATGAAGTCTTTGACAACTTCAATCTTTTCTCCATTTATCATGATGCTACTTATAGGTCCAGTTGTGAAGATTTTTGTTTTCTTTAAATTGAGATGTAATCCATACTGCCGATTGTATTCTTCAACCTTCATCAGTAAGTGCCTCAAGTCATCCTCACTTTCAGCAAACAAAGCTGTGTTATCAGCATATCACAGGTTGTTAATGATTCTTCCTCCAATCCTGATGCCACATTCTTCTTCATATAGTCCAGCTTCTCGGATTATCTGCTCAGCATATAGATTGAACAAGTATGGTGAAAGGATACAACCCTGATGCACTCCCTCCTTGCTTTTAAACCATGCAGTGTCCCCTTGTTCTGTTAGAATGAAAGCCTGCCTCATGGTCTATGTACAGGTTCCTTATGAATAAAATTAAGTGTTCTGGAATTCCTGTTCTTCTCAATGTTATCCATAATTTATTATGATCCACACAATCAAATACTTTTGCATAGTCAGTAAAACACAAGTAAACATCTTTCTGGTATCTTTTGCTTTGAGCCAAGATCCATCTGACATCAGCAATGATATCCCTCATTCCACATCCTCTCCTGAAACCAGCTTACATTTCTGGAAGTTCTCTGTCAATATACTGCTGCAACCATTTTTGAATTATTTTCAGTAAGATTTTACTTGTGTGTGATATTAATGATATTGTTTGATAATTTCCACATTCTGTGGGATCACCTTTCTTTGTAATGGGCACAAATGTGGATCTCTTCCAGTCAATTGGCCAGGTAGCTGTCTTCCAAATCTCTTGCCATAGCTGAGTGAGTGCCTTCAGCGGGGAATCTGTTGAAACATCCCAATGGATATTCCATCAATTCCTGGAGGCTTATTCTTTGCCAATTCCATCATTGCAGCTTCAACTTCTTCCTTCAATACCATTGGTTCTTGATCATATGCCATCTCCTGAAAGGGATGAAGATCAACCAGTTCTTTCTGGTACAGTGACTCTGTGTATTCCTTCCATCTTCTTTCGATGTTTCCTGTATCATTCAATATTTTGTCCATAGAATCTTTCAATATTGCAACTCAAGGCTTAGATTTTTTTCCTCAGTTCTTTCAGCTTGAGAAATACTGAGCCTGTCCTTCCCTTTTGGTTCTCAAACTCCAGGTCTTTGCACATTTCATTATAGTAATTGGCTTTGTCTGCTCCAGCTGCTCTTTGAAATCTTCTGTTCAGCTCTTTTATCTTGTCATTTCTTCCATTTGCTTTAGCTACTCTCTGCTCAAGGGCAAGTTTCAGAGTCTCTTCTGACATCCATTTTGGTCTTCTCTTCTTTTCTTGTCTTTTTAGTGATCTCTTGCTTTCTTCATGGATAATGTTCTTGATGTCATCCCACAATTCTTCTTGTTTTCAGTCGTTGGTGTTCAATGCATAAAATCTATTCTTTAGATGGTGTCTAAATTCAGGAGAGCTATATTTCAGGTCATATTTTGGTTCTTGTAGACTTGTTTTAATTGTCTTCAACTTCAAGTTGAACTTGCATATGAGCAGTTGATGGTCTGTTTCACAATCTGCTCCTAGCCTTGTTTTGGCTAAAGATATAGAGCTTTTCCATCGCCTCTTGCCACAGATATAGTCAATCTGATTCCTGTGTGTTCCATCTGATGAAGTCCATGTGTATAGCCACCATTTGTGTTGTTGAAAAAAGGTACTGGCAATGAATAAGTCATTGGTCTTGCAAAATTCTATCATATGATCTCCAGTGTTATTTCTGTCACCAAAGCCATATTTTCCAACTACTCGTGATTCCTCTTTGTTTCCAACTTTTGCATTCCAGTCATCAGTGATAATCAACACATCTTGATTGTATGTTCAGTTAATTTCAGATTGCATAAGTTGATAAAAATCTTCAATTTCCTCATCTTTAGCTTTGGTGGTTGGTGCATAAATTTGAATAATAGTCGTATTCATTGGTTTTCCTTGTAGGCATATGGATATTATCCTATCACTGCCAGCATGGTACTTCTGAAAATATCTTTTATGATGATGAATGCCATGCCATTCCTCTTCAAACTGTCATTCCTGGCATAATAGATCATATGGTTGCCTGATTCAAAATGGCCAAAACCAGTCCATTTCTGCTCACAAATGCCTAGGATATCAAGTTTTATGCATTCCATTTCATTTTTGACAACTTCCAATTTTCCTAGATTCATACTTCATACATTCCATGTTCTGATTATTAATGGATGTCACAGCTATTTCTCCTTAATTTGAGTCATGCCACATCAGCAAGTGGAGGTCTTGAAAGCATTACTTTATCCATAGCAGTAAGGTTGGTTCTACTCTGATGATGCAGCTCTTACCCAGTCATATTTTGAGAGCTTTCCAACCTAAGGGGCTCATCCTCCTGCACTGCATTTGACAATGTTTCTGGGCTATTTATAAAGTTGTGCAGTAACATAACAGACATAAGGTTTCCCTGGGCCAATTCTTTGAGAAGTGGATGGCCTCTTCCTTCTTCCTAGTCTGTCTCAGTCTGTAAACTGCATTGAAACCTGCGCACCATGTGCAACCCTGCTGGCCTTTGAAACACTGGTGGCACAGCCTCAAGCCTCACAGTAATACACAAGCCACCACAGTATGACAAACTGACAGACAAGTTTGTCTCACTTAGCTGTTCAAAACCTCTCCGCCCTCCCCTTACCTGGATCCCTGCCACTGTGCCTGTCGTCCCCAAGGTTTTCTTTCCCCCACTTCCTGCCTCTTGGGGGTGGAGCCTGTGCCCCTCTCCTTACCTGGATTCCTGCCACTGTATCTGTCATTTCCCCAGCTTTTCTTTCCCTCATAGAATCCTTCAATATTGCAGCTTGAGACTTGAATTTTTTCTTCAGTTCTTTCAGCTTGGGAAATGGCAAGAGTGTTCTTCCTGTTTGGTTTTCCAGCTCCAGGTCTTTGCACATTTCATTATAATATTTTGTCATCTTGAGCTTCCCTTTAAAATTTTCTGTTCAATTCTCATTTTTTTTTTTCTGTTCTCTTTAGTGACTCGCCATTCAAGAGCAAGTTTCAAATTCTCTTGTGACATCCATTTTTGCCTTTTCTGTCTTTTTAATGATCTTTTGCTTTATTCATGTATGATGTTCTTGATGTCATCCCACAACTCCTCTGGTCTTTGGTCATTAATGTTCAATGTGTCAAATCTATTTTTTAGATGGTCTCTAAATTCAAGTGAAATATATTCACATTCCCAGAGAAGAGTAAAATAATTCTTAACCATTAGTGTCATTATCAACCTCTATTTGTAAAATCAGTTTGATGTAAAGAGAGAGAAAAGTGTTTCAGAATCTCATCTTATATGACAGTCATATATTTTCTGTTTCATGATTGGCCCTGATAGGGAAATATGAGCCCAAATGTATTGTTTAATATACTTAATATGTTGTTTATGTATTCTATATACTCAATGCAGTGAAATAATTTCAAATTATTAATGTAAAAAGGAAGAAAAGACAATTGGATCAATATAGAAAGGTAGAAAAGAATTTAACTTATGAATATGGAAAAGTAGTCCCAAGTTAAATATTTGCAGATAGAAATCAGTAATATTGTAAAATAATAATACTCTCAGGAATGCATGGATGGTTCAGCATAGAAAATACATTTGTATAACATCCATTGAATAAATATTAGTGGCTATTGTCTACCAGAACAAGGTAACTTCCCTGATCATCCTCTCTCAAATACCTCCTTGGCACCTCATGCATGGTACTCCCTATTCTTCTCTTGTTTATTTTCTTCATAGTGCTCGTCATTCTCTGAAATTATTTTGTACCTTTATTTGTTTGTGTATTTACTGTATGTCTTCGTTTGTTAAAATGCTATTTCCCTGAGGACATTGTCCAGGTTTGTTTTGTTCACTGTTCTATCTCCAGTGCTTAGCAAAGAACCTCATACATAGTAGCTGACATATTCATTCAATATTTATTGTGTTAATTCAATATTTGTGCAATATCCATGCATTTTTTAACTAAATGAACACATGAATGTGTGAATGAATTTCAGCAAGTATAAATTCCTGCCCTCGTAGAGCCTAAGGAGTCCCTAAGTGATGCAAATAGTTAATGTACTTGGTAGCTAATGAAAGGTTGAAGGTTCTAGTCTACCCAGAGGCAACTTTGAAGAAAGGTATGGTGATCTACTTCTGACAGATCACAACCATTGAAAACCCTATGGACACAGTTCTACTCTAACCACACATGGGCTCACCATGAGTAGGAATTGAATTGACAGCAACTTTTTTTTTTTTTTAATTTGTTGTTGTTGTTGTTGTTATGTGCCGTCGAGTCGGCCTCGACTCATAGCGACCCCTCCTTGGGTTTCCGAGGCAGTATCACTACGGAAGTAGGATTGCCCAACCTTCCTTCCGAGGGAGCTCTGGTAGCATAGTGGTTAAGACACTTGCCTGCTAACCAGACGGCTGGCGGTTTTTTTTAATAGATCCTATAATTTAGTGGTGGAGCTAGGCAATTCAACAAGTTCTTTCATAGTTGTGTCAAAATCCCAGTTTTCTGGGCATGTTTTTCTATTCTAACTTTGTTACTGAATAAAAGACATGGGAACTGTTTTTCAGGAGTCTTCCACAACTTCCTCTCAAGAAAAGTCTGGAAAGCTAGAAGCACAAAGTAATAACTTCCTGCTTCCCAAAGCCTGCCACCAAAGGACACGCAGCAACTCAACCAGTAAGTGTCTAATGAGAAGTGTCACATGAAAATGTCTTCAGGAAAGAAGTTGAGCTGTATTTGGGAGAAGGGGGGATTTCTGCTGGTCCAGTTGGACTAAATCAAAATTGTGGTCAACTTGCCATTCTTCATCATGTGCAAATACCTTACCCAGCTGGAGGACTTCTGCATTTGCATTTAGAGCTTCTCAGTGCTTTAGTCAATTCCTCCTCTAGACTCTTGAGTTCCATGTTGGAAAGATCCAGGAATGGAGGATAAGAGAAATGGGGTTTACTCTTGGTGCATCTTCTGGATTGCTTCTTGATGTTGGGAAGGTCATTCTCTCTCCCTATGCTTCTGTCAGGTCATCTGTAATATGGTGGGGGTGAAAGCTGGAAGATGTCAAGATTCTTAGTTGCTGCAAATGAAATAACACTAACACAAGGTCATGAAAATTTGTAGACTACAGAAAAGCATGAAGAAATTAAAACCACACTAAATCCCAATATTAGAGATAATCTCTTTTAATATTTTCAGTTATTTCCCTCTATCTATGCCTATTGAAAACTGACACTGGTATGTCTACCTACCCATCTATCAGCTATATATATACTTTTTCTCATTTCACTGGAAAGTTTTTGTAAACACCAATTTCAGTGGCTAAATAGTATTTCATTAGGTGAATATATTATAATCTTGTGAACTTATTCCCTATTATTAGATGTTAAAGTTATTCCCAGTTTTCCAATAATATAACCAACATTGCTGAATTCCTATATGAAATTTTGTTTGAACTTGTGATGAGTTTCTCAGGGAAAATGTAAGAAGCAGTGAGGTGGTATGGTGGTTAAGAGGTCACATTTGGGAGGCAAAGCACTTGGATTTGAATCCTGCTTCCAATGCTAATTATCTGTGTGACCTGGCCACATCCCTGAAATGCTAAGCTGTATACTATTCTGCTGTAGAATGTACTGTCATCAAATGAATCATCTCCTATTAATGGATAGTTAGTTTCTTTTTCATCATGTTTTGAAACAAATTAGTTTTGGTGAAAATATGCACAGCAAAATCCACTCCTATTCCAGAGTTTCTAGACATATGATCACAGTGACATTGATTAAATTCTTCACATTGTGTCAATATTCTTGTTATTTATGTTCTAATTGTTTCACTTCCAGTTACTTAATCTCTCTGCTCCCAAAACTTTTAATCTATGTTTAAAATAGCTGTTCACCTTTTAGGTTTTTTTTAAAAAAATTTTAAAATGCATTTTATTGAAATATAATTTATGTACAGTGAAATACACAAAACTAAAATGACATGGGTCAATGCTTTTTTTTACTTTTTTCCAGTATTCCTTTCCCTCCCCTCCCATCCCTGGTAACCAACAAAGAAAGTTCCCTTCCATCTATAAACCTTTCCTTGACTTTTTACAATAATGAACTAATACTATATTTGTCCTTCTGTGATTGACTTATTTCACTCAGCATAATGTCCTCCAAATTCATCCATGTTATATGCTGTTTTGCAGATTCTCCATTATTCTTTACTGTTGTATAGTATTCCATTGTGTGCATGTACCATAGTTTGGTTATCCATTCTTCTGTTGATGGGCACCTAGGTTGTTTTCATCTTTTTGCTATTGTGAATAGTGCTGCAATGAACATGGGTGTGCATATAGCTGTTCTTGTCCTGGCTCTCACTTCTTTAGGATATATACCTAGTAATGGGATTGCTGGTCAAATGGTATTTCTAATTCCAGCTTTTTAAGGAATTGCCATACTGTTTTCCACAGTGGTTGTATCATTTTACAGTCCCACCAGCAGTATATGAGAGTCCCAATCTCTCCTCATTCTCACCAGCATCTACCATTTTCTGTCCTGTTGAACTTTGCCATTAGTGCTGAGGTGAGGTGGTATCTCATTGTTGTTTTGATTTGCATATCTCTGATGGCTAATGATCATAAGCATTTCTTCATGTATATCCTCATTGGTGAAGTATCCATTCATGTCTTCTGCCCATTTTTTAATTGGATTGTTAATCTTTTTGTTGTTGAGGTGATGAAGTTTTCTATAAATTTTAGAGATAAGTACCTTGTCAGATATGTAATTATTGACAAGTATGAATTTTTTGCTGACATTTTGTTATGTGCTTTTTCATGGTGTTGATTTCTTTGTTCCACATAATTTTCTGTGCTGAGCTCATTTTGTTTATGAATTGTGTTATCACTTCCTTCATTGCTATTGTTTTAGTATTTGCTAAATATTTGTGAGCTGAAATGGACTGGTTTTGGCCATTTTGAATCAGACAACCACGTGATCTACTATGCCAGGAATGGCAATTTGAAGAGGAATGGCGTGGCATTCATCATCACAAAGGATGTTTCAAGATCTGTCCTGAAGTACAATGCTGTCAGTGATAGGATAATATCCA